TTTTTTTTTTTTTTTTTTTTTTTTTTTTTTTTTGCAGCTGGGCTTCACAGAGTTTGCAAAACCCATGAGTCGCACTGACATATTTTATCAAGGTTCCATAAAAAACTTAACTGAATTTACTGAAGAAGGTAACGATAACAGTTGCATAACAGAGAAAATAAAAATGAAATAAAAAATATATATGTAAAGCAATCTGCCATCCACCCTCAGTTGTTTATATAGATTTTCTTATTGAAAAACTGCAGGCAAAGATTATGAAAAATACAGAGCTACACATATATCAATTCCTGCAGCACTTGTAGCTGACGATACTATCGAGAAGAGTGATGGTGAAGTAATGGAGAATTACAGACAAAACTGTGCTATCAAAAAGTTAGAATCTGGGTGACTATAAAAGTTACAAATCTTTCTGTTATATATCTGCCATCTACATTTATACCTTTACTTAAGGAATTTTAAGTTTTTTCCGACAGTAGTAAAAGCAGTTTTTGCTGAAATGGTGGATGTAAAACTGTTGAAACAGCCAACAATGATACTATTTTGCCTGTCAAATATATTTGCTATGCTTGGCTTTTATATTCCATTTATGTTTTTACGAAATATGGCTCATAAAAAAGGTGTAAATCCAGAAGATACTGAATGGCTTTTATCAATTCTTGGCGTTTTTAATACTGTTGGTAAGTGCTTCACCTTTAAATTACAAATAAGGAACTGTAGGTTGTGGTCAAAAAATAGTGCTTAGTGAATAACATCTACAGGTCGTGTTGCTTTTGGTTGGTTAGCTGATCGTAAAATATTTTCTCCGCTCACTCTGAACAACTTTTCTTTGCTAGTAAGCGGATTGTTAACCATCTGCTGCACATTCTATGTTTCCTATTATACAGTACTAGCCTATTCGATATTATATGGATTCATAATCTGTCAGTTTTGAATTTTTTCAAATATAACTAATTTCAGTAGAAAAAAATTTTATTTACTTTTTTTATTTCTTTTATTTCCCAAATCCTGTTAAAAAATTTACTTTTGCTTTTAAAAAACTGCACTTAACAAAAAAAATTCGCGTTTTTTCTTTCCTTTTTTTTTTGCTATATGTTTTTCATTCTAAAAAAATTTGGCTGTAACAGAAAATAATGAAAAAAAGCCTTCTTCAGCTGCTTATGTCAGTCTGACAACTGTAAATTTAACGGACCTCTTGGGACTGGAGCAACTTACCAATGCTTTCGGTATGGTTATAGTTAGCCGTAGTTTTGCGTGTTTCCTCGGTACTCCTCTGGCAGGTTTGTTGTTATTCCTCCCTCCCCCCTCCCTTACGACGGTTTGTCGTATACCTCGTTTAAGAAGCTTTATTTACATCTATCAATTGATATACATCCTGAATTGGCGATGAAGAAATCTAGTCAAATAACACTTTGCTATTGAAAGGATGATAAACTACTATTTAAATGCTGCGAGTTTTATCAAACATTTTTGAACTTTAATAGGCTTCAACATTAGCATAAATTAAACCTGAAGTTTATTTTAGGTTTCTTTTATGATGTTACCATGTCCTATGACGCATCATTTTGGTTTGCTGGAATTCTTATTTTGTTTGGTGGTGTAGCTACCTGTTTGGTTCCTACGTTTGAGAAGCAAAAAAACAAGATTTCCGACAGTCGTAATTCTTCCATTTAGTTTTACACTTTTGTTTTTTGAATTTCTTTGTTTTCTTTTTCTTTGTCGCGCTGTTTTTCAACAATTTTTTCTCCATAACGAACAACTTATAGAAAATTTCATAGACCGAAATCTATCAGAGATTTGCAAAAATAAAACTGTTGCTGTTTTTTAGATCGCTGTGTCGACATTCATAGATTTTGATTCTGTATGTGCTGTTATTGCAGCACTTCAATGGATGTGACAATGGAATAAAAGTTTTGTTGCAAAAAAATTGGAAGTAAATTTTGAAGTGCAATTTTGATATTTAAATTGACAGAATTCGTAAATTAGCAGTGACTGTTTTTTTTCTTGTTTATGTTGTCAAAACACATTTCTGTGAGCCATCATGTGTTGTCAAGTGCTTTGTAGACCGTCTATTCTGCAGACTCCAGTTTTTACAAATTCTTTCAGCCTAAGTTAATGAGACAAATACCCAGCAGAATGCTTGAAACAAAACCAAAACAAAACTTCAATTACATTCTGACATCTTCAAAATTGTTTTAACTGCGTCTGATGAACGTTCATTGCTTTAAGTGCCCTCTTTTTTTTTACAGATTAAAAATGGATGCTATTACTGAGTTATCGTTAAATGGAATTTTCTTATTATTCTACAAACTACATCAGTGTACTTATAAGCTTCAGCTTATATTTAATGCACGTTAAGTGGTTATTCGTTTGTAAAATTTATACATTTACTGTATCCACTTACGTATTATTATTCTCGGTCGCCAACTTGTTTTCTCTATTGCTTCATCTGCCTTCTCATTGTTGTAATTTAACGATTGAACTGACTGATCTAAGAATTCTGACAGTGTTTGGTAGATTTTAGTCTAGAACAGTTTACAAGGATATGGTTTAAGGCCTGTTGAGAGAGCAAGCTCTACATCGTATGATAAGTATAAATTTGCTCACAATGCCTATATTTTGTTGTAGCAGCAGGATTTGTTACTCCATCAACTGATGTTTGCTTCAAATTCGTTGCTAACTCGAAGCAATGTCAACACTTCTCTTCACTGACAGTATATATACTAAATTTTCACCAATTCTGCGCGCATAAATAGTGTTCGGTCTTGTATACATCGCCTATGGCTTTTCAAAAGATTTAAACTACATGTCTAGTTTGTGACGTGATTTCGAAATATTTTGACCAAAGTTCGCCATTTATACTTCTCATAAGACAGTCTTTATCAGCACTTCTGCTAATAGAAAGAAAAGGGAACAGGAAAAAATCAATATCAATTAATTACTATGTGGCTAAACAGCTGTTAATGAAACTGTTTCTCTTCGTTACACGGTCGATAATACCAGTGCCAAAACTGAACACTGCAGCTCCTTTCCGTGTGGTTTTGATAATTAATTGGCAAAAACTTGATTGTGTGTTTTAGTTTCGCCTATCATTACGCATTTAATTTCAAAAAACAACCACACTTTCCTTCCGGTTTGATTGCCTGGAAGTTTCCGATCAAATCGTTTCTGATGTTCAAAGATAACTCAGTGTCAGAAGCTTAATCCGGAATTATGAACAACTTTGTTTTTGTTTGAAAGAAAGCTAACACAAGAAATTTACACTTAAGCAAACAAAAATTTAACTGCACCCGATGCGAGTTTATGCGTTCAACTTTCTATACTGACATACACTGAGATTTAGTAAGACGATAGCGGGAACCTGATGATAGCGCGATACGCTTCCAGTATTCTGAGAAGTAAAAGAAATTAACTACAGCAAATTTTTGCATTAGGATAATTTGCATCTTTTAGATGCAAACAAATCTCAGGCAGCAGTGACAAAGTAATCTTTCTCGAGCAGTGCGAACCTTTACTTTCTTGAACACAAAAGACTTGCAGTCAGTTTTCGTATAGAGAATGGAGCAAAATTTGTTCGCCAAACTGTCATTAAGGGAATGTAGCTTGCGCGGAATCAGTCCCAAAAAATCAAAGAGTGGTGACTCTGTTATTTATTTTTTGCAACGAATAGTTTTTGCCAACCTAAGTTTGAAGTTTTCCAAGGATGCTTTTGCTGTCATAGCTTATTGTTAGTAAAATCAATACTTGTCAGGAGGACAAGCGTCATGAGGAAGAATCGAGGAAAAGTTTCAGACGATGATTAGCAGACAAAACAAGTTCATTAAGAAGCACTCAATCTGGTTATTTTCAATTTACGTATTTTTCCGGCGGAGGATAAACTGTAGCAGAAAGATAGGTGCAGAAAAAGTTTATGGAGATTACAGATCTTTGAAATGAAAAAATCAAAACTTTATTTTTTTAAATCATTTTATATTTTCTCTCTTGCCATACGCTGCTTTTAATTAAGGGGACTTCTCTTAGAACTTTTGAGCCAGGAGGTTATTTGATCAAAGGTAAATGCAGATAGAGGTAAACAGTTATATAGCTTAAGTATTTTTTAAAACGGTGAATAGCCTGAGTAAGCAGGCCGTACCTGAATTTAATAATTGAAATTTGTTGCAGGTATGTTTTTTTTACCAAAATAATTTTTTAAATTTAAACAGTTGACGTGCTTATCCGTTCCTTCATCTCTGCTCTGACGTGATTGTTCACTGGCATCACTGTAACTCTCAGATTTACTTTCCATCAGTTTTATACAAATATAGCCGTATTTCCGTGAAGCGTTTAAATAAAATGTCTTTACATTGAAAGAAATTTATGAGAAATATTTTTGTCAACAGATTTGCCAAGAAAAGCTCATATTTTGATCACGAAAAGTTCAGCAACAGTTTTCAGTGTAAGTAAAAGATATTTGTAGAACTCCGTAGCCATAAGTTTTCTATGCCACATTTTTTTACAAAATCGTAGGATTGCTCCACCACAGCTGGGGAGTTTTCCATCTGAGGCGCAGATTTCTTACTTATTGTCCGAGTGAACTTTTTTTATTTTAAGGAAATTTCTGCTAGTCATAATGTTACAGTTTTCATCTCCGTTTACAGGCTTTCTAGTCTAAATCTTTTGCAATTTTTTAAACGCTATATTGGTAAGACTTTTTGTCTGGCGATAAGTTATTAATAAAAACCTAAGCAGAAATGCTTGTTCAGTGGCCTGTTGCTGTTCTTCTTCTAACTTTTTTTTATGAAAAAAATTTTTTCAAGACATAATTGTTTTCACTCTGATTCTTGTTTTCATATTTTAGTCATTCAAAATCTTTAAGCTGTTTGATGCTGATAACTGTGTAAGCCTAAAATTATTGGGCTCTTATCGGATTTTAATGGGCAGTCCAGTAGGTTGCAGTCTGACAGCCTTTATAAAAACGAAGTGTCTGAAACTGAAGTGTTTTTTTACTGTTTACAATTTCATAAATAATTATTCACCCAGTTTTTTCACTCATTAATAACCTTTAACGACTTTAATATTTTGTGGTTGGTGTATTAACAAGTTTATTGCCTCTAATTTTGGGTTATTTTTAAATCAGAATGCTTTTTTATAAAGCAAAAGAATCTGATCATTGAGCAAGTGATTCTCTTCTGACGTCTAACTTCAGTGTGTGGATAATTAGAAATCTGACTTAGTGAAGAGTGAGGCTGTGAGGCTTAGCAACAGAGTGATAAATTATATGGTTTTTAATTTTATTTTTTGTAGAGTGGTGACAGATTTATTAAATGCAAAATTGCTACGGTTTATAGCAGTTTTGCTGCAAATTAATATTTTTTTTATTACCTTGATTCGCAGTTCTAAACCTCGTGAATTTTGGAATTTTGTGTTGCAGAAGAGGAGTCAATATGTTTGGCACATATTTTTTCAGTCTTACGTCTGATTTGTTTTGAAAAAAAGTTGCTTTTGATTGCTGTCGTTTAAAATAGACAATGCTCCATTTTCGAGCATTAATGAAGTACGATGACAGTGTTGATTAGTGCAAAACGGAAGGGACTTTGAAAGTGAAAGAGAGGCAGATGAGCTTTCTGGAAATTTGCAAAATACATCAGGATTTTCTTGCAGTTTTTTGACTCTTCTCAGAAGATGATGTTGGATATATAAAATCAAATTAGATTACAGCCAAGTGCCTTTTGCTATTCTGTATTTGGTACATTCGCTGTGGAAGTTATTTCTATTACCAATGGATTTTAGACTAAAATTTAATTACTAACTGTAATTAAAAACTTTGACTGCTGCGTCAATAAGCGTTTTGATAAAGGAGAAGTTTGCACTCAGTATTTATTGTAACATCTTGTTAATGTGACCAGATAAATTTTTTATTAAACATATAATAGAGACGACTCAATATCACGTCACTGATGGTTAAAAACAATGTGATGTACAACAGAAATGTAGAAATTTTGATGCGATAGAACACAAAATGTGAAGTTTGGACTTTGAAAAAAAAGAAGCCTGAAGCAGCTTCAGAGTTCTTGTTGCATTTTACTTCTCATATGACAGCGGGTAATGAAAATACGACTGCGCCATAAGTCCGTCGTCAAACGGTGCTCTTAGGTGCACTTTATTGGAAATATAGGGCGACCAGATCAAAAGTAATCAATCGTCTATCAAAAAAAAAAAAAAAAAACGAGAGTGAAGCCAGTTACAAAATTTCCGCTTTTCTAGAACTGAACAGTTGACTGTTTTGGTAATAAAATGATGGACTGATGGAGCTATTCAAAAGAGATTGTTGTCGTTTTAGAGATTTTTGTGGATAAGCCAAATCTGATTTTCAAAATCAATGGAGCGGTTGAGTGGAATATCAAAACTACTGGTAATAGCAAATCGTCAAAAAATTGTTCATTGAAGAAAATGGTAAAAAAACAGGATAAGTAAAGGAATCGGAATTTGTTTCAACCATAGAGCTTGAAAAGCGCAAAGCTTGCGCAGTTTCTACATTTGAAGCATATCATGACAATCGCGTGGATACTCTCGTGCAGATTGTTAAATGCTTTTTTCTGACTGTATTACGTAGAAGGCTGGCAGTAATAAAGGAGCAAGATAGAAGAAATATTATTATATTTTTCACTTTTTTGTCGAATTTGTACGACAGTTATTTGTACCTTGCGCAAACTGATCTTTTATTCCTTTTTTTTTTTTTTTTTTGCCAAAAAACATAGTTAATTGTAATACTCAAAATGAAACTAAAGAGTATATGGTGGGCTACTTATTTTGTATAAACGACTGCTGCATAGAAAGTTCTACAGTGGTCTAGAACACTTGAATAATTCTTTGTTACCTTTAACTTAAAAACTTTATATACAGTGACGCAGTTTAATCGTTTTATCAGGAGTTTTTTTTTTTTTTGCCAGGATCAATGATGTTTTAATAAAGATTACAGTATTCTGTCAGAAACTTGGAACTTTCAATTTACGAACACTTTCCCTTCCTTTCTTTCACGCTCGTTATTTACTTTATTGTGATTTTTGTTTTCTTCTTTTAAAGCTTTTTTTACTCTTCTGCACACGGGTTTGCATTTTGGTAAAACCGTCTTTCAAACACGTAGGCCTTTGTCAACACGATAGAAGAAAGTACACGAAGTTGTAGCGGAATGAAACATCTTCTACAAAAAGAATGGAGTGAAGTATGACGGAAGACGACAGTAAAGAACAAAAACTTTGTATAATAAATTAAATAAGAATAAGTTGTCAGGGTCAGTTGTTAAGGACATCAACTGCCTTCGCAGCGAGTGGACGATTCTTCCAAATAATAGAATTTAAAATTCGAATGAATGCTTTAATATGTTGTCTGTTCGTTACCGGCGCTTAGTTTTTCTCTAACTGTCTTTTGTTCAATCAGATGGCACCTTTCACTTAGGCAGTTAAAGTCGATGGGTGTACATTGTTGGAAAAAATAGTTTCAAGAATTGTTTCAAGATGGCTTTTTTGAAAATTAATATTATGATTACTACTGCAGAATAGTCTAGTTTAGATAAGACAGGGTTCTTACTCTTGCCAAAAAACCATCAGTTTTGTGTCTGCTATTAAACTGTCTTAAAAACATCGTATTTTCTCTAACATTTCATTTAAAATTTATTACAGCTTTTTTTTACAACCAATATGTAGTCTCCAAGTTCATGTGACTTTCAGTTTTTTTTGATACAATTGCTTTTAACGACCATTGTTTGTTTATATTTCTCGCACCTAATCTTTTTTCTTTTGCTTACGTATGCAGGTACTCGTAAACGTCAGAAATGGATTTTTTGAATGAATCTGAATTTCATTGGTGACAGAACTATTTGATCAAATCACTTATTGACAAACCAGCTAACTTTCTAATCTGCTTTGCAGAAATTTAACTTTTATCGTACCATTTCAATTCGCAATTGGTATTTATATTTGTACATTTCAAATTCTCCAGAACTTTTAGATGCCTCGCGAAAAACGTGAATCTGTACCTGTAACCTTAAACGATGAGAGGGACGGAGGCCAAATTCAGAATGCACGGTCTGCAACCTCAACGGTATATCCAGAATCAGTATCTGCGTTGTCGGTACAACAACTAGAAGACGTTCAAGCGAGATTGGAGGGAATGCGATCACGAGCTTTCAGGAGGGAAAGGGAGGAAGGAAACTTCACTCTTGGTTGCTTAAAACTATTTCATACTAGAACAAGGTGAGTATATATGTTAAAACTAGTAAATAAAATTAAAATAGCAGGTTAGTTTTAACGACAAAAACGAGCTATTGGAAGTCATTAACTTATATTATAAGAAGTGCCTTTTAATATTTGACATCACTAATTTTAATTTACAGATTTATCATGGTGATACTGGTGCTTTTTTGCCTGGCTTCTGTTTGGTCAAATATTCTGACCTTTAACATCGCAGCGTTGTGTATGAATCCAAATAATTCCACTGACGACGACTTTACACCTCTAAATTCTTCACAACCCTTCAAACCAAGGCCATCTTTATTCACTCCACGTCAAAGAACTTACCTTACTTCAGCAGTTGCAGCTGCCGCACTAATCGCAAATTTTCCTCTAGTATCTATCGTCAACCAATTTGGTATTCGCACGGTGTTCACCTTGTTAGGTTTATTCTCAGCATTCTCTACCTGTCTGCTCCCAACTGCCACTCGCCTTGGATTTAGTTATTTACTCGGAGCTAGGATTTTACAAGGTCGTTCTTCAAGCAAAAAAAAAGTTATTAACTGTACAGGCGTGCTTTTTTTAGACATGAGATCATCTGTGTAACATAGTAGATGGTTTCTTCTTTTGACGGGTCGTCGCTGCACTGGCACTCAGAACACTTATTTTAAAATTACAGTAGAAAGTTACTAAATTGACGCTTGGTGTTGAAAGTACGATGTAACGTCATAGTTTTTTTATCCATCTTTTCTAACGACGCAGAAAACTTGAAATATTTTTGTAAAATTAGAATTTTATTTGACAACCACATCAATTTTACCAAATGATGGTTTATAATATATGAAAAGACTTAAGAGTTTGGTAATTTAAAACTGATTGTTTTTTTGAGTCCCTCGAACAATCATCTAAAAATATATTGTAGACTTAATTTTAACTTTTGTTGAACTTCTTTTTTTGCGGTTACAAGTTCATTTATCAATGACAAGAGTTTGATTCTTCATTTTTGATCAACATAACTCTTCGTATGTTTTCTGTTTCAAATCTTTTGCGAGTATCAGTTACGTTAAAAGAACATTGAAAAGTTGGTCTACAGAATTTGAGGTGATGAGGAAGCAAATCGCTTGTTTTGGACTCAACGTTCCTCAACACTTGTTGTGAGGCAAATATTTTTGAAAGATCATAACCAGAAATCAGTAATTTGTTATAGATGCCGTTTTTAAGTTACAGAGCACCAAAGTTAGTTCAAGAAGTTTGCAGATTTTAGGCATTGCATTCGCTGCGAATTTTCCAGTCATTGGTGAATTCACTTCTAAATGGACATACTACAAGCAGAATGGATTATTCGTCAGTATACTAGTGGCATACGTTCAACTAGCACCAGCGTTAACGATGTCCAGTAGTGGTATGCTGTGCTCATCGCATTGGGGATGGCCCTCTGTATACTACGCTCATGGCATTATATCTGTTATACTCTTCAGTGTTTTTGGAATATTTTACAGGAACAGGTTTGTGCATCGCAATTGACATTAGGAAGGATTTATAAACTTTGGTAATAGAGTGCAACAAAACGGCAGTTTGGAAAATCAGTTCGATGGGGCAAAAAGCTAGTCAAATAGGAGTAAGAGAAAAGAATTTGCTTCATTTATAGCTCAATAGAAAGCACTGCTTAAATCCAGATTTTGTTCGTGATAATTATGTTCTTGAAACTATTTAAAATCATTTAGTCCACTTCCCGTTGCTAGCAGTTATCATCTCCAATGCTCTCAAATTTTATTTTACTAAGGGCTTCAAAATTATGGACCGATAAAAAGTAAAATACATTAAAAAGTCCTACAATACTGTGCGAAACAAAGCAGTTTTGTCTTAAGATTTTTTTTTTGGCTTAGGTCGACTTCATATATTCAAAAATTACTGCTTTTGAACTTAAAAGGGTTTGCTTGAATCAATTTTGTTGATCTTCAACCTGAATACTGATTGAGGCCGCGCTTTCCTAGGCTTCTGCAGTCCTATTACGCACAGATCATTGCATCATGTTTTCTAAAAGGTTATATTTGAACAGTGCCGCAAAGTAAAATTTGTAGCAACTCAGCGCTGTTTTCTGCAAATTGTAGATCAGTTTGCTTTTATATCAAAGTTTTTTCATGTTTGGATTTCTCTTAACATTTGTCGCTTACAAGTGATATTTTTTTGTGTATTATTACAACAGGTGAAATAAGTTGTATTTTAGTCTTCTATAATAATTATTTGGCTCCACTGCAGCAATAATTTTAATGTTCGATAATGAATTTAGGTTTACTGATTGTCTTAAAAGCAATACCTGTTAACGAGCATTAGGTACAGCTAATAGTTGCCGCTTTCAATAATGACAAAATGACAACTCAAAAGAAGTTAATAATTAAGCGGTGTTCTTATTCAAAAAACTAGATTAGCAAAAAAAGTAGTTTTTTTTCTTACAGAGATAAAAAGCTTTCTTACGTTAAAATCAAGGTATATCAATTCAAAAACGGTTTTCTTGTACGTACAACATTCATTAATGAGTGATATTTTGTTTCAGCCCATCAAAGCATCCGTTTGTTAATGAGCAAGAAAGAACTAAAATAGCAGTTGGCAAAACAGAATGCACGAAGGAAGAAATAAGCCACATACCATATTCAAATATCTTACAAACTGCATCGGTTTGGGCAGTGTGGTTGGCAGCTATTGGTAACTTCACCTGCGTTAACGTTCTGTTCCTTTACTCGCCAACTTATCTGCACAGAACGCTCGGCTTTGAAATGTCTCATACTGGTCTGGCCGCTGCTATACCACCACTGTTACAGTTTTTGATTAAACTTTTTGCTGGTTTTACTTCAGACAAGGTAGTTATTTGGAGGTTAAAATGTTTTAAAACTTGCAGTAAAAGTACGTTTTTTAGGGTTTTATTACATTGGGACGTTAACTGTCTTCGAATCTGCTGTCTATTTACTACGACATATTTGCAGATCTATATTACTGTTACAGATTAAATTTTTGGGCGAAACTGGAAAACTGCGTTTGTACAATTCTTTTGCCTTCCTCGGCTGTGGAACTTTTTTGGCCGGTGTTGCATTTATTCCGATATCTCATCGTAACTTTGCAATAATATGTTTGGGTGCAGCCGCTGGAATCCTTGGATTTACTACTGGTGGTTTCTTTAAAGCTGCTCCGCTAGTATCAAAACATTACAGTCCATTCGTTACGGGCAATGTTTCTTTAGGTAACTAAAAATTCTTCTTGTTTGACCAAATTAACTATGTACATAAAATTCATTTTCTTTTGAGACGTAATATTGGGTTTAAAAGTACAGGTTGAGAAGAGAGCATAATAAAAAAACTTATCTAAATGTAATCAAAAAGAAAAATTTAGATTATCTTTTTTTAAACATTCAGTAAATATTTTTTGTAATTTCCTCGTTTTTTTTTATGTATCACCGTAACGATGCTTATTGTTCCATTTATGGTATCAAACCTCGCTCCACAGAACACTTTACTGGGGTGGCGTGCAGTATGGCTTACAACTGCCGGTGTTCTGGCTGTAGCCAATTTGATGTTTTGTATGTTTTTCCTGCACTTTTTTGTGATCATTTACTTCAATTCCTTCAAAATGAAAAGCAATATCTGTATTTATGCCTTAAAAATGATTATTTTGCAGGTCTTATGTGCTCAGCTGATCCGGCTCCATGGACGACAGACGAGTTTTCAAGAGAAGCCTCTAGGCTTAGAATGGCTGCTAGAGCATCAAAATCTCAAATAGCTCCAGAATTGTCAATGGGCTAATTTTATCACTGTATAGTTCTAAAATTATAGCTTTACTTGATTACGACTGACACTGTAATTAAATTTCGCTTGGAAAAGTCAGTGGTTCTCCTCTCTGAAGTGACATCAATGTTACTTCTGCTCACAGAAAGAGTTGTTCTGCACCATTTGTCTTCTTATGTTATTGGTAGTTGAGCTTAACACCGAAAATCACAAACGGCATAGCCGCAATGCAAAAAAACCGTTTTAATTATTACACATTTTTTGCTCAAAAGTTGCATTGTACTGAGCAGATATCTGTAGCAAGAAAATTGACATTTTTGTAATACAACTTCTTCCATCCTAATTATGAGCTTTTTTTGATCTAACTGTAAGGACTGAAAAAGTAGGAGTGGATGAGGTAACTGCTTGAGTTTTTATGATCTGAACGATGCTGAGAAGTAAAGAGAAGTCGTTTCCATCTTCTGCGGTAATCAGCAGCGTTGTTAAACTTTAAATACTGAATTGTGATTTATGTATTTTGCTTCATAGATTATTACTACTAAAATATCTCCTGTATGCTACGTTAAACTTGTGCCATTATTCAACAAAAATAAAATTACGAAAACATGACGGAGTTTACGCAAAACTGACATATTTAAAAATGCATGTGAGTGATTATTGCGTTGGCTGAATAATGAATAAAGACTTCACGAGTTGCAAGACAATATCCCTCAGACTTCTGCAACGCTCTGTTCTTGGATCGGACTGTCCCAGTAAATGGTATGTAAATTCGCCAGAGCCGGTGGAAATCAGCTTAGCTGTAACAGTGATACGCTAAAACGTGTCTAAAGCTTGTGTCTGTTAGACTACGTTCTACGCATATTCAATTTTAGCAAAAAACAACTTTAATGTACTATTATAAGAGCTGTAAATATTAAACTGATGTCAAGACCAGCAGTTCTAAGTATACCAGGTGTTATTTTCTTGCTAAACGCTATTAGGTATGCTGCTAGTAAAATTCATAAAAAGAATTTATTTTTTGATACATAAGACTGTGCTTTCTTTGTAACAGACACAGATCTGTGTCTCTAACTAGTTATTCATTATTCGGACCTCGGTTTCATTGTATTTTCTTAACAGCATTTTTTTGCTGGTTGTAAAGGTCATCATGAACGAGGCCACTGAATAAAAATTGGTTATTTAGGACGCCTTGAAAATTTCCGTCAAACTGATGCATTTCTTCAGGCTAAATAAAATTTTGCTAAAATCTTTTAAGCCTTATTCTAAATGCATTCAAGACAAAAATATTGCGAATTAGTACTCCTAGAGCGATTCTTAGATGAATGCGTGCTGAGGTGTATAAAGCCGAAGAATCTGAATGAACTTTTTTACTTCTTAAATTTTGCAATTTAGTGAAAGGGCGTTTTTTTCGGTTATTATTCTACTTGAAAACATGGATGTTTTACTCATGAGCCAATAGTATGTATAAGGGTTCAAAATCGAGTGAAATTAACTCACTAATTAAAACTTGAATGCCAGTCGGTCGTCAGCAATTATCACAGTCTTATATGTATTAATTCTAGAACTGACCCATGTTAATTAAACATATGGGTCAAAAGTGGCAGTAACATAAAAAAGGCACTGAGTAACTGAAAAAACAAAAAGATCTGTACCAGGAACAATAGGAGCAAAAAATCGGATTGTAGAAAAGGGTTTGTTTTGTACGATGCTGTTTTAGAAGCTTATGGAAGATGCAGAAGCGTCAAGGAGAAAATCTGTTGCTAAGCTCTGTCGATTCTGACTCATCTCTACGAATATTTCTTTATAACCAAAACATTTGAAAAATTCTTTTATTCAAAAGTTCAGTAATGCAAACGATGAAAAAACCTAAAAAACGGTAATTGGCTACAAGAAATAACATTTTAAAAGGCTGTCCTCACAAAGTTCTATATGAAGAAAATTGCAGCAGTGTGTAGACTCATTGAATTCAATCATTAATTTTTATTCCCCCGTAGATGGGTCACTTGGTCACTCATTTCTATTCACATTTCAAAACTTCTTCTCAGTGGTCTTCTTAGCGTGGTTAAAATCGCTTCCGAAATCGATTTTCCTACCATGGATACAAATTAGATTTCAAGTAAAGTTTTAAAAGGCTATTTGAACAATAAGTTTTAATGCTGTAATGTATTTAAAGGTTATATTAAGCGGCTTAGGAGACAGCTTTAAGGAAAAACAGATACTTCCAGGTACTCTTCTAAAAAACGACCCAGTTTGCCAAAGTTTAATCTCATTTGGTAAAATCACCCTATTTTCCCTATTTCCAAACCGGTCTGTCACCGAAGAGAACATATTGTAGGAGGAGAATTGGTTAAAACAAGTGTACAAAACTTTCTGGATTTTTTCAGCAAGAAAAAAAACTGCAGCATCATTTTCCACAGATGTACCAAACTTCCAGGACGGCACTATTGTTTTTTTTCGTATTGGTAAATGGAGGAAATTTTGGTGAGTTTTACAGTTTCTTTCATTTTGTTTGCCACATTTGGACAGTGCTATATCGTCCTCCATAGAACAATTCTGAGCATCCTTGAAGCATAAACAAGCAAAACATTCTTAACTTGCAATCTTTAAAATATAATACTCAATATTCTACTTCACTTGTAACCTGTCGATAACAAGTTTTAAATGATAGTGATTTCAGCATCTAGTCAAATCCTGTCATCATCGGATCTGAATTGCAATTTTAACAACGTTTGTCAGTGGAGAAACGCTACCAACGGTGAACAAGACGATGGCGACTTTGTGGTTTCTAATCATCTCGTTTTTGATCTACAGCGCATCACTGCGAAGGACAACGATATAGGTGATTTGAAATTTTGTAGCATTAAGTCAACTATAAATTACGAACAGTTCAAATTGCTTCAATTCGACCACACTAAAAAAAAGAAGTCTAAATTTAACAGTTACTTCTAGGTAGCAATTTTGCCTACACTAAAAGCATTATCGATGGTCCACAGCGAGCGCATTTGACCAGTGATATAATCAGGTAACTATTTTGCAAAAGCGCTTCTCAGAACCAGAGTAACAAATGTTCCAACTCATTTCAAAAATAAAAATTTAAATTGATGAAAACCTTTTGCTCTGATACTGGAGATGCTTCTTGTCGAATTTAATAGACAAAAGATCAGTTTAAGATAAACTATGGTAGCAAAGTTGAGAATAAATGAAACTGATGACTGCTACAAAAATACAGAACCATTTATTATAGAGCCCCAAAAATCAAATAATTTTAAAGAAACCTTTTGGTTTTTTTTCAAAAATTTTTTATCAAAGAATCTGTTTGTATTTTGGGAGAAAATTTCGCAATGCGGGAAACATTTGTGCACAAGAACATAGAAGAATTCCTTATTTTCAAACGCCCTTTTTATCCAAATTCACACGACATATTCTTTAACCTAAGCTGATTCCGCCTTCACTGATAATAAACTTAATCTTTCAAAATTTTTTATGTAGCTTCGCTTTCTACTAGAAATACTTTAGCTGATGGTCTGTTACTTATGGTATAATCTGGTAGATTAGGTAACTTCAACAACTTCATTAACAGATAATTTACAGCGAGTTTTCTTCTAAAAAAATACGGCAAACAGTCAATTCCAAAAGTTGTCTTTCTACACAAGCTACTAATTTTTTATGCGGCCCCTAATTTGCAGTGAAACTTCTAAATACGATCACTTAATATGTCAGCTGCTCTCGCTCAAAATGCAGTATCCCCCTTCGAATAGATTTTGAAAACTCAACTCACATTCAGAAGCTTTCCGCTTCTGCAGTCTTCTATGAAGCTAGTTAACGATGACCTAATGGCCATCTAGAAGCCTTCCAACAAAGTGCCCTACTGCCCTCCGAAGACGAATTTTAGGACGGTCCCTCATTTGCTGAAAACTATTAAAAGTTTAATGCAACGATGACGAAATTTCTACTTACTGCCCCTGAGGGAGTGACCTTAAATATTGGCGCTCTTGCGTTTAGTTGGCTTCTTTGGCTTCTCCTAAAGCAGGTTTCTCGCCTGCTCTGTCACACTCCGTGCCCGTTTATTGTTGTCTTTGGTCGTTGCAGTCAACGGGCAGTAGTACTGGTTTCTTCAAAGACCACAAATCGGTTCAGTAGCTGAAGCAATTCTGCTTTGTGCTGCTTCGCTGAAGCTGCCTCTACGGTTCAAGAATATTTTTTTATTTTTTTTTGGAAGAATATTTTCTTGAAATGAATCAGTGCGACCAAACTCTCTGGGCAGATATTCATTTATCTTACTGAAGTGGAAATCGGTAACGGATGGTACAAACACTGAAACATATGCATAATAAAAAAATCATTTGTGAGCGTTAAAATACCTTACTGATTTGTTACAGATAGGTGTAGCAATAGTCAAAAAGCAAATAAAGGCCATTTTAATTATGCTTTCTCTCCTAAAAATTCCACTTTTATTGTTACAAGCGGAGCATGCATGAAACGCTTTGTTTAATTGGTTGTTCCACCAGCAACTGTGTACGAAAGTGTTCAGTTTAACAGCTATACTGAAAGGCAGAAAAATTATAAATATTCAGCATCTCAGGATTTTTCAGCTGCCAGTTGGGTGGTGCGGTTTTAAAGCTGTGGTACTACAGAACAGGTGTTAGGACCACTCTTGAAGCCTGTATCCGTCAACCACCAGGGAGCCTGCTTGTAACAGCTCAAAAATGCTTCCCGTTGTTTGTGGGGAATCATATAAGACAATGGCTTTATGGTGCAGTAGAATTTCCGCCGATTTCGCAACCATTTGAAGTAAATACCATAAAAAACCGTTCCTTCCCCTATCACAACTTGTTTTCCAAAAACAGCCTTCAATACAAAAGATAATCTTTTAGCTTATCATCAAAGCAACGTTTATCCAACCTAACGATATCGTGGTGATTGATGACATTATTTACGACGCCATTCTTTGCGGTATGTTTTTTGCATGAGTTCCTCCTGATTAACTAATCGTTCGATCACAGTTATTTCAATTACAGTAACAGAAGTCACTTATATCTGACTGCTTTATACTCTTTTGCTACTTTTCCAAAGTCTCCATCTACTCATCAGTGCTTCTCTTACATCTGGAATTCCACAACACTATCTGACTTGGTCAACTTTTTGCTGTATATTTTTCATGGTACACAGATTTAATAATTGGTGAACTTATTGGCGTCTTCAGTTGCTACAGACATCTTAATCAAGAGGCTTTGGAAATGCTTTATAATACTGCGGAAATTGCAACAAAGAAAAATGAAATAACTAGGTGTCCGGTTAAACCAATTCCTGAAGAACACCGCTTTGAAACCCATTAATTTCAGAAAACGGCTACCTTCATCAAACAACAAGCACTTACAAAACGACTCCTGCTGTGAAAAAAGTGTCATTAATTACTGCTGATAGTGTGCAAGTAAAAAGCAAACAATCAACTACTATGTCACCTAAGATGAACCCTGATTTGCCAGGTTCAGGAGGCAACTTATTAATAGAAGTTCCTGACCGAAGTGTAGCAAAAACTGCATTTAGTTCTGGTGAACCCGAAGGGCTTATTAGTTTTGCTCAGAAATTGGTGCCGCTAATAATACCGTCCCTAACTGAATTGCTTAGCAGCGAAAATTTGCAGAAGCAGCAGTTTCCAAACAAAATTTCTTTCCCCACTCCAAAAAGTCCGCAGTCCTCTGTTCAACCAATTGTTCCAGTCAATCATTTTGATTTTAACGCTGAACTCACGCCAAGTTCTATGGACAGCAATGGAATAACACAAGAAATTAAGAAAGATGTTATCAACTTAGGGACAAAATCATTTGGAGTAATACAGGGAAACACATTCAGAGGGCTACAAAACCCACTATTCCCTCCTAAAAATTATCCTAGCAGAAAATTTGAAAAGCAAAACATAAACAACGTTTATCCACACTTAAGAAGACCAATAAATATAATCAGGTTGAAAAACTCAAGCCGAACGGATGGCATTCATGCACCAATTATTTGGATTTTGGAATCAACAACCTTGCCTTCGTTATCAGTCAAGGATGTAGTAGGTTTAAAATTTAACGCTAGCTCGACTGAGTCAAGTAAAGAAGAACCGTCAACTTACTTTTCCACAGTCAAGCAAAGCATACTCGGTAAAAGACGAAGAAATCCCTTTGAAAAGGTAAAAAAACGCAGAAAACTTCAGGAACGACTTATATCTGAAAATATGACATTGGAAATTAAGGAGACTGTACAGAAACCGTTTCAAAAGACGGTGACTGCAGAATTTAAAAAGAAAGCAGTGGATACAACCACAACATCAACGCCTGCCCTAATCAAAGCCAAACAATTTCCTCAGTTCATCATTAATTACAATTACAGCAGTGAGGAAGCTAAAGATGTGAAGAAGAGCTTCCCCAAAGAAGCTCTTGAAAGTTTACCCTTACTAAAAAATATCCCAGACCTGGACAAATTAGTGGATGGCTTGGACTTATCGCTCCTAAAAACTCATGAAGGTTTTTCACTGATAAAGCGACAGTTCTTGCACCGTTTGTTACAGCATATAAAAGCTAACTCTTGAGATATCCAGAAATCAAACTACAAGTGGAAATGAACTGCTTTTGACTGCTTCATTACCCCTTGGAGAATCCTTTGTTTCTACCTCACGCCCTTCTTGATGTTAAAGCTTACTGTTTTTAATTAAGATTAATAAATAAAAATGCAAGCTGGTTTTTTGAGCCGTACCAAAAGTTACCGGTAGCGGAATTCAGTTGTTTGACCACCATATATACTTGTTGTCTGGAAATTCACGTAGTTTCCCAAAGATATGTTGACCTTTGAAAGACAATGCAGACTTTACTCAGCTTTGAGTAGCTGCAGTGCACTCAACCTTTCCATAATTTATGCTATAGATTGTTCATATTTGTCTTTTCTGGCAGTGAACGCCCAATAAATTTTTCTACCTTCTATTGTTCTTTGCACTTCGATTTGTTCGAATGAAATGACCGAGCAGTTTCAGACTTAGCTTGTCATCCAGAAATTTAAACTCACTCACTTATTCCTTATCTAAATTGTCCCTTCTCTGCTGTTCTCAGTTGCATCTACGATCACTGGTAATTATTATGAAAAATAATGAAAAAATCAAAACAGATTTGCGTTCTTAAATGTTCGTTGAAAAAATGCCTGTTGGAATCGCTGCCAGTGAAGTTTCTTTTGAGAGTCATTTCAGAGAATGTAAACGTTGGGTTAAACGAGGGCGCCGGCGGAGCTTATGGCGAACATTCCTACTCCTCCAACAGCAACTCCAACAATGTCAATAGTCCTCGTTTTCTTGGTTAGCATTTTTACGCAAAAAATGGGTGACCGACGCTAACTTCTCGCGCTGTTCAAAACTTCTTACTGCCTACATAGATTTTCTTTGTTTTAAGAGCAAAAATGTCATGATTAAGAACGCAAGCCGAAAATATTGCTCTCAACGTTATGTCCAGATGTAATTTCTATCCCAGTTACAGTTTTAAAGCCTCGTTTTATTTTTAGACGGCAATGATCCATCGCTTTTGTCAGCAGAACTTTATTCCCTATACATACCACCAATGTCGAATGTTGGAATTTGATATGATTAATGTGAAAAAACTGAAACTTTAAGTTTCTTTCTTTTCAAATACATCTAATCAGCATTTTATTTTTGTAGCCTTCTTATAATGTAAAAGATAGGTAATGAGGCGCATAAGTTACTAGTAATATTTTACTGGAAAATTTAAGAGCATTACCTGTTAAATGAGTGAAGTTGAATCTTTTGAGAGACATAAAAGTTAGGCAGCGATAAATAAATGCGCAATATTTTTGCTCAGAAGTCACGAGTCTTATCAAGTAATCAGTGGAAAAGTCAAGAAGCTGAAAATTGTCCTTCAGTTGAATGCTCCTTTAATGATAAAACGTTGTGCAACTATGCAGAGAATCCACTCGACGAAGATGTCGACCTTGCGCTAGGTAGGTCTTCTTTCGGCTATGATGGCAGCTTCAGATGACATTGGTAATTCTACAACTGGCAGCATCAAAAACATCCAAAACAAATATTAGGATGCTTTCCAAATAGCCCAAACCTTTTAAACATTTATTTTTTCTGAAACGTCAGGAAGAATTTTTAAGGAATTTTAAGGCCTTTAAAAGTAAAATTTTAATTCAAAAATTCTTGCTAATTCTATGTAAAACGAGCGATTTAGCAGGTATATTTATTTAATCACCTTTTCGACTGCCTTCTGAGAATCATCTGTCATTTGCGCGCATTGAAAGTTGTTAAGTTTCAACCGCACAGAGAACAGTGACTTTGGTAAAATTCTGTCGTTGAAGATTTTCAGGTGGGTCATGAGAGACATTTCAATTTTCTCTGCAAAAAAATTAGACCAGGTAGTCAATTAAAGACTCGGAACTTAAGAGATTGAGATGAACTCTTACTTATTTCAGCGCTTGCTGAAGTTGAGTATACCGCAAACATGCGAAAGTTGAATAAGGTTTTTTTTGCTTTTGTAAACCCAATAAGTTCATGTATTTCTTTTTTGAAAGCATTACGGATAAATAAGAACACTCCCGACAGAACTTTATCGGTCAGTAATTTAAAACAACAACATGAACAAGTGCAGAATATCTTTTCCAGACCTCAAAAAAAATTTAGATTTTTGAAACAGCATACAAAAAAGTACATTCACTCTTAAATTATTTGACATGCACAGTGTTAGAACTTATTTATAGCGTCAATAAAAAATGAACAGTGACTGAAAAGTTTCTTACAGGTCTTCCAGTCGGTACTGTAATTCTGGGCTGGTCAGTTTCAAAAGACAAAATTGGGAACAGCTTAACTGGTATAACCCAGGATGCTGGCCAAGGTCCTTAGTTTTATCGATTGCGCACTAAGTATTAGTGAGAGGTGCAAAAACAGCTGAATGGTTTGTTATTAGCCAAAAAAAAAATTCTGGAGACAACATGTCCTTTTGGCAACACCTTTTACAAATAAGAAACAATCAACTGCCCCTATTTTGTTTACAGATGGATATTTCGCGTATGCTGGAGAAACTACAAACTCGCGCGCCGTCTTCCTTCTGTCCAGTGCTCATGCCTTTACTGTATTGGAGGAAGTAGCTTTGAAATTCAAATACCACTTAAGTGGAAAGCATGGCAGACTTCGGGTCTGCCTTGATACTGCCCGGATGTGTCCTTTCGAACTTTCCGGTGCTAACGTGGAGTTACCGCGCCGCATATGGAAAGATGCTAAGATTGCTATACCCAAAGGAACTCATTTAGTAAGCTGATTTCTTGTTAAAGCCGATACTAGTGTCACTATATTTCAGCTTTGAAACGTTTTGAAAAACGGTTGTGCTCTTTTTCTTAACTGAATGTTTTGTTCTTGTTCTACTCTTTTTTCTCCTTCTTCTTCAAAAAGAAAAAAGGGAGGAAAGGAAACTGTAAGCTCTGTGCAACGATTGTGACAGAACGATGACTAGGAAAAATAACATTCAGATCAAACCATTGAAAAGCCATAGAGAAAAGCAAATTTTGTTTGTTATATCGTGGGTTAGTGAGGCTTGGCAGGGAAACTTTAAAATGGAGGAGTCAAAAAGTTTGAAGATAAAATACTGCTCTTGTTTTAAGAGGATACACAGAAGTAGAAAGACTGCAGAACAAATTTTTTTCTAACCGATGTAAAAAATTATTAGAAGTAAATATTTGGAGAAGGTTTTATCTGATTTTTATAACAATTTCTCTACCTTATTCTTATTTCGTACGTCTAGCTACCAAACTTACGTAGAAGTGTAAAATAAAATTTTATGTCCGGAATTTCCGCTACCATGCTCCAGCGACTAAACCAATAAAAGTTTTATCAAAAAAAGTGCCCAGCATTTTTTGCAGCTTTTCTTCTCACTTGTAGTAATCTTATCCAGTAAACTATTGCTAAAAGTTCATGAAACTCTCAGTAATAATCTCTTCTGTCATCATCTTTTTATTCTTAAACTTTACCGCTTCATTTTCAGCTACATTTTATTGCTGATCAGTTAAGAAAAAACTATGTGATTGGTATTGATGATCTACGCTTAACGCGGCCAAATACCATGTTACCTGCCAAATGTTACCTCTAGCATCCAGCAGCGTTTGATTCGTGTCATGACTTTTGAACAGGCTTTTACAGAATATTTTTGCTGCTGTAAACAAATTTTTTAAATTCTCGTCAATTTTTCTTGTATTGCGTGATAATTATTGGTGACTACTCTCCAGGCGCTTTCCGCAAATAGTTTTTGCATAAAAGAATAGGTGATGAAAAACCGATGTGAATACGTTATTCGCTATGCGAGCAGATAGCTTGTTAAAATTGGTTGAAGCATATGCCAGAAACATGTCGGTAGCAACATATGCTATTCTTTATAATTATTTTTGTAAAATGGCAAAACAGTTTAAAAAGTAATTTTATCTGCAAAATAGATGTAATTAATTTACAATCTGTTGGTGCTAAATAAAACAACCGTGTCAAAATTGTTCGCACAGTATCATACGTTTTCGAGAAATGACAGCCAAGTTGCAGTTTTTCAAATCCTATGGTTTTTTTTTTTGTTAGCGATGTTAATGAATTCTAATTTCAGTTTTTTTTTAAAAACTTCTAGATTCTCTGATCACTTATAATCTTCCTTATAAAAGCATCATAATACACAGTATGATAATTTAAGATTTGCTTTGGCATTGGAACTTTTGACAAATCTTCCTGTTTTAATTCGATTGCAAAACCAGATCTGCTGAAAGTACATTTTGCTATTCTGAGCCAAAGCTGTTAAGTCGTTTTCCTTTATCATTCGATTGCCATAATAATGACTTTTCTCAAAGTGATCGAAAACTTTGATTTTAAGCAAAAGTTATGACTTTCTAAAGTATCAAGCAATACTCACATAGAATTTACTATTTATTTATATGTGGGTGTAATAAACGAGCACCAAGTGGAAAGTACAGACATCTGTATTAGTGAAGCCAGTGAAGAAAGTTCCTGGTAGCGTGTGGTTTGTTTCTTCTAAATATCGGTTCTACAGTTTATTTACATAAGCTCCTCATATATGAATTTATTTGGTGCATATTTTTATTCTAAAACTTCCACCGCTACTTCTACTTCTGTTGAAAAATCTGATCCTGCCAGACTTAGGGTCAGTTTTGCGCTACGGCGAAATAAACATGAATAAAACAGTGCAAAATATTAAAAGTGTGCGCTTTTTGTGTTCGAGCAATTTTAGATTTAAAAGTGAGTGTCATTCAGTTCCAGGCTACATGAATCACCTAGGTGAGAATGTGACCGTTTTACTCAGAATTATATCATAGTGAGCTGCTAAAAGATTGATATTAGTTGTACGCAGAGCAATAGTATTTTTCGCCAACAATGATCTAGTTACAAGTGTTTAGCACCGAAGTTAAATGTAGGAGAAAGGGGGGTTGTAGTTGTAATAGGAGAAATGGCTGTGAAGTCAGTTTCAAAAATTGTTAAACTGCCATTAGCATTCGCCGAAATGAGGTGTATTAATTACTGCAAATTTTTCTCCTAAAACATTTATTAATTACACTTTTTGCGGTACTCAAAAAATTAAGAAAAAAAAACGTTTTCAATTTTTTTTTTCATTTTTGTTTTTCGTCTTAAAAAAGTTTTGATGTTTTATAGCGTTACCAATAACCACAAATACGTATTCCAGACTTTTCAGATGAAAGCTACTTTACTAAATACCGTTCTATCTATACAACTTTGTACCGTACTTTCCTTCACACAATTGACACCATTGAACGTGATGAGTGAAGTACTCGCCTCAACAAAAATAAAAAATTTGATCATAACAGCTAAAGCCACGACTGTAAATCACAGCGTAATTTCTTCCAGAAATGTTTCAGCATTCTCCAGTCAAATCACCTTTGAAAGTCATCACTGTAATGTAGCTTACTGTGCTATTATTTACCTCAGATTATTTCTAAAAAAAAGACGAACACAAACCTTTCAAAGGATCAGATTTTTATATTTTTAAACGATAAACGACATTACTTTTTTCTTGCATTACAATTTTTTCCTACTTTGTAATGCGTGACTGTATCATTGTACAGTGATACCGGTATATACGAGTTTCTTTACCCACGTTCTTTTTAAAAAAGAATAAAAAGAATGTGAAGAATAAAAACTGAAAATCGTTTTTGTAACTCCACTTTCCAGAAATAAAAGTTTGTTAATTTACCACTACCTACCCTTTTCAGCTCTTCTGTCAATATCTTGAGCAAAAGACTGCAGCTGAGTAGACTGATGAAATGCATGCTCCGTCCAAAGAGCGACTGAACATGATGTCAAACCTGAACGAATTTATAAATGCTTTCAAATGTCGCGATGAACATAGCCGAAGACGCGAACCACCTCGTCAATTATGATGAAAGACTTCATAACAAAATCACTAAGGGATCACTGTAATCTGCATGCGAATGTCACTCAAGTAACGAAGGCGAGGCAATCATCAAGAAATTTATTGATAAATTAGTAAGTATTCGCCATGGAAGATGTGTCGAAGGCTTCAATTTGTAATTGATTAAAAGCTGAAATTATCAGAATAGTGCAATAAGATTAATAAAATTTAGAATTTTTGTCCAAATTACAAAGCGGCTTAGTATTTAAAACTGCTGAAAATTGAAAAACGTTTTAAGTACTGTACCTGAGGTGTGATCACTATAAAACCAAATAAAAAGCCGTAAAGTATGCTCAATGTGCAGGTGTACTAACCCCACCGTTTCACACAACGAGGAAGTACAAGACATAATCAACAAAAAAAAAGAAAAAAGACCTAAGAAAGTCATTTGAAAGCCAACTGAAAGAATGATAACTGATAATCCATTGAAACAAAATTTATACGACATCTCTGCTACCGAGTATGACTCAAAAGTTGCAATCAAAAAATTAATTGATATGGTCATACTGTTTGGCCTCAGATGTAAAAAAAAACTAACTGCAACTCTCATAAACTTCGGTATCTCTCAAGTTTCAATCGACAAAACAATCCCATTTAATAATTCTGCAGTCTGAAAAGTATCACGCATTTAAACAGTATATACAATTATTTAAAGAAATGGTAGAAAACACCAGCAGATGAGAAAAGATAGGAGAGAACTAAGCAAACAAACAAGCCGTAAATTAGTCCAAAAATAACACGACAAGATATAAACTTAAATACCAAATTTTGTCTACTCTCAAAGTGTAAACATTCCGACAGCACGTCTTGTACTAAAAAGTGATGCAACAAATTAAAAAATAATGAAATTTTTATTTTACAACAAAATTTTTTTCTAAATTTCTTCAGATCTGCAAAGATAAAAAATTGTTTTCAAATCACAAACTCGAATAATGTTTGTAAAACAGAAATATTTACGGTGACACGACAACAAAAATAAATTTCTTCCTTGAGATATTTCAAAAACCAGCAAAATGACAACGAACTTCAACATTTACAACATCGGCAACTTTTAAAGCTCAGTAATTTTTGTCAGTTGCCACAGTTTCTAAAACAAAGTTTCATTAAATACCCATACTACTGCAAAAATTTGCTCTAATCTTCAATAATTTCTGTCGTATTAGGCTGTTAATTATCGTTGAATAAACTTTAGACGCTTCTTTTTCATCTCTATTATCCCTTATAAGAGTAGTCCATAAAAAACTGTTCTGAATTTGTTATGCACTATAAGGACGAAATGCTCGTCAAAATAAGTTAAAAAATTAACCAAAAAAATGACGGCAGCAAAAAGTACCGTTCTCTATTATTATTTTTTTTTTCTTTCTTTTTTTTCGTTGAATGAAAGTGTCGCACAAAGTAATTTCATTAACAAAATCAATGTAAACTGTTTTACAATCTGCCGGTGTCAGACAAATTAAAATTATCTGCGCAGTCCCACGTAGCGTTTGCAAGTGGCATCTTTTTGTCTTTAATGTGTCTTTAGAAGTTAAACACCTAACTTCCGAAGACCTGTCATTTCACAAGTTTTTAGAACAAAACTTGATCATTAGATGATACATATAAGCACTCAAAAAATGAATCATCATTGCAATCTTCAAAAAAAAAATTTTAATTCTCAAGTATCCACCGATTTGAAGAACAATTACTAATTCAATAAATTTCCGTCTGCTTCCAGCTTCTGTTGCAGAAGAAAATAACTTGAAAAACTGAGGTCCAGTCTAAAACTGGCTAAAAAAAATGATTCAATGCATCGAGTAAACGCATGATCAACTGTTGTTCACCAGCAACTAATTTGTAATTTTTTATGAGACAGCACAATAAGAAACTAATCATCACTGAACGAGTTTGCACTAAATAAAACTTGGTTCTCTTTTCGACCCCATCTCTTAAAAATATAAATTTACAAACCTACTATTTACCTGTTTAAGTCCCTATGCCAATATTCAGATCAAAACAGTGCCGGTTATTCGGCTGGGAGTGATCACCCACTCTTCTCAGCCTTGCACCAAACCAAAGTTGAATTTACAACAACTTCCAAATATCATGATAAAAACCAAAATCCCGAGCACCACTTCACTCGTAAAAAGCTCACAGAAGCTGCAGCAGTTGGTAAAAAAGCAGATTCCTTCGAGTGCTAACGAAGGCACCGTTTGCTAAACCAGACCTTTTCTGACTATTTAATTACAAACATAATCTCAAGCAAAACTATGCACTTATAAAGAACCCTAAGCATCAAAACATTGCACAGTATTAAAACTCTGCTAAGCACGTCTCCAGCTAAAGCTTACACAAGCACTGCAACTTAAACTCTAAAAGCAGCACATAAAAAGCACTCCTGACAATCCCGAAAAAACAAACCCGCTTAACAATCCCATAAGTAAAACTTAAAACACAGAAACAAGCACTGCCACCAATATTCATTTTTCAGTTAATTTTTGAAAGACATTTGTCTGCTAAACTACGTTATGTTATTAACGGACTACCACAGCAGCTCCTAATAAACTTGAAATATGTCAAAAACAGACTAAACTATTATTGGGGAATCCAACAACAAAACTTAGCAAGCGAAAAACAATCAACAATCCGTATAGCACAGCCACATAAATACATATAAATACCAAAATAAAAAGTCACGTACTAGCACAGACAACCAAAAAGATTAATTTAAAACCGGCGAGAAACAAAATAAATAGCGTGAAATTAACCTAACACATTGCAGGTCATCTTTAACTGCAGGTAGTTATATTTAGCAAAATTTCAAAAAAAAAAAAATTTTTTTTGAAGCTGCACTGAGATTACAAAAGCATTTTAAGAAGTAAAAGGAAAAACGATCTGGAGAAGCCTAAACTTTTTCACGAAGAAAGTCAAGATACAAGTGTCAAAAAAAATTAAATGTTATAGAAGCGAAATCCTTAATATAAAAAAGCGACTTGTTTTATCTATAATCTTGGGTTAATGAAACAGTAGCTCTTCATGTTTCCAAAAATATTTAATTTGCCAATTAAGCCCCTACTTTTAAACAAATCGGACTTAAACTTACATTAATGCGGTAAAAGTAATGAGAAAATAAAACCATCGTCCTTTATTACGAATGAGACTTATAATCACTGATCTTTCTTCGACTCTAGCGTAGCTTTTTGAGAGTCACCGGACACTGTGGTCGCTGAAGTATCTCCTTTCAAAGTAAGATGCCTACGCTCTTCTTCCAAAGGTTCCTCTCCTTCCGGATTTTCCATAGAAACTCCATATTCATTTACACGCTTAGGGTCAACTCGGTAGATCCATCGTTGGTAAATATACACCTGAACATTCAATATCCCACTAATTATATGAGTCATTAGAAAGGTGTGAATTAATAGTACGGCTTACAAATCCTGTGCGGAACAGGTCTTACCAAAAAAACTATGTCGTCGCGGAAACACCCTAATCTGTACATGGTTGGCATCCGAATAACAAATGCGAAGAGATCATCAATAAAAGTATTGATAAACTTATAAGTAAGCATTCGCCATGGAAGATGTGCCACGGACTTCAATTTATAATTGATGAAAAGCTGAAATCATCAAAATAGTAAAATAAACTCAGTAAATTTCAGAACTTTTACCAAATTACTAAATGGCAAATTGCCTAAAGCGATTAAAAACTGTGAAAAATCTTGGGTATTGTACCTGAGGCGTCATCATAATAAAACCAAATGTCAACAAAAAGCCGTAAAGCATGCTCAATATCCAGCTGTACCAACCCCGCTGTTCTACATAAACAAGGGAGTATACTGCGTAACCACCAAGAAGCGGAAAAAGAACCCACGAAAGATATTTAAAAGCCAACTAAAAAAGTTCAAACTTGAAATCCATTAAAAAAAATTTGCACAATACCTCCGCAGCTATAACAACACTCAATTTAAAAGCTACGATTAAGAAAATTACCTGATCATACTGTTTAGTCTCAGACACCACATACGACCCTTTATCAGAAATGCTAACCTTCGGAAGAAAATTGAAAATTTTATCTTGCCAGTTGATCTAAAAAACTTTTCCGCATAAGATTTTTAGAAAGTTTACCTTCAGATAAAAATCTTTAATATTCTCATTCTAAGAAGACCTTCATTTCAAGCATGAAAACATTAAAAGCTTACTGCAACGTTCATACATTTTGGTATCTTCCAAACTTCAATCAATAAGCCAATCCCGACGGATAATTTTACGATCCAAGAAGTATCATTATCACATATATATAGAAAAACAACAACAGACTGGAAAACGTTGAAGAGAACTGAACGAACTGATAACCCCTAAAATACTTCAAAAAAGGAATAATAGGATATAAACAAAAACATAAAATTCAATTTTCGCTTGAAATAGAGAAATGTTTCCAACACGAGCAGCGATAGCCAAAAGTGATGCAACAAATTCAGCAACGTTGAAGACTTTGTGTTATAACAAAAATTACCTCTAAGCTTTTTCGCGATCTCCAAAACTGGATGTCATTTTTAAAAGCCAAAAACTCGAATACTGTGTGCAAAACAGAAACGACTGCGGTGATACCTTAACAAAAGAACCTTTCTTTATCGTGACTTCTCAAAAAAAAGATAGTGAAGAACAAATTTTGACTATTACGACACTTATAAACTCTTGCACACAAAAATTATGTTTTAAAAATGCTGGGACAACAAGACTACTTGAATGCAACTCTCCAACTCATCACGTACTAAATATTAAAGTTACCGAGCAGTATAGGACTAGTTTCCAATAAAGCTTGTTTTAAAGAATCTTGTTCTTCATCAGATTCTTCAAAGAAATCCCCACCCAACATTTGAGACCATTTTCCTCGCATCTAAATATTTTTAATCGAGAAGAAAAAGAAGATACAAAACGCAGTTTAAGGTGAAAACCATTTACACAATTTATACCTGTTGTGAAGCATATAACTGCCACTTAAAAAGTGATATAGGTGAATAAGTAAGCGTAAAATTCAATTCTTTAACACTTCCATTGATCGGCATGAAATCGGCACCAAGGTTCCAATAATCATTGAAAAAAAATATAGGCTTATAAGTATTGCTAATTGGTTCGAAGACCACAGCTTCATCTAAAGGAGACGGCAACGCTCCTAAAAATCGTTACGCAAATAAATTATAAGCTGTTATGCTTCTACTGAAAAGAACATAAAAATGAATAAAATTTTACCTTTCTGCCACGCAGTTTGATCGACGACGAGATTAATTGTAAGATTTGGATGCCAATGGTTTAATACTTCGTACGACATCACCTCAGCCTTCTGCCTCTCTTCTTCGCTTTGCTTGGTCTTACCAGTCAACAAATTTTGGGTTTTTTTATAATACTTCTTTTTAAACTTGTTTAACTGTCGAACATTGTACACAACCTAAAAACGGCCTCTTTTAACTGAGGAAGCCAATAATGATACAAAAGCTACCTTCTTACCTCTCGTTTCACGTAATGCCTGTCTTTTGGATTGGGCGACTGGCCTTCTTTAACAACGAAAACATGTAGGTAGAGAGATCCATTATTAAGTAGTACTTGAGGAACGGGGAAAGTAGAAGATTTCAAACGAGAACCATCACCATTTGGGCCCGAAGTCCAGTCACCATATACAAGATCAGTTTCTTTCCAAAATAATGCTGCTTCATCATTAAACGCGTTGAACCTGTCCATCTGAAAATTTCGAAACAAAAAAAGAAAAAAACAGAATACGAAAGGACCGATCCCCAAAACAGCAATCGTGTGCACGAAGGTAATAAAATCCTCACTGAATCAGAGAAGTATACGTAAATTTCGAATTTTTGGCCAGGAGAGAAAAGATTCCTTGATGGAGGAATTGCCGTCTTCGTTCCACTAGTACTGTTAATGTATGGTGAAGACTGAGGTGCCATGAATTCTAGCCAAAGAGAAGACTATTAGAACTACCAAGAAAAAATATATTTACAAAGCAAATAGTCCTTTCAATAAAAGGATCATTCTAAAAGGTAAATATATAAGTAACAAAAGCAGTAAAACAACTCACTTTTAAGCATAGACGTAATAAAATAAAAAATCATTACTCGATATAACATCCCCTTCACGAACGACCACATATCAAACTGAAATAAAAAAATGTTCAAGTCATACGAATAGAGATGGCGTAAAAGTTAGATTCAACTATCAAATGTTGGCAACTCAAAATTTCAACGAACCTGTTGTTGTTGGTTTTCACCGACAGCAGCATCCTGCGCTCCACCCGCTGTACTGACCACTGAATCACCATCTCCAGGCATTACGCTAAACGCCTCCACTAACAAAGAACAACTGCAACATTGATGAAAATAATACCAATTATAAAAAATTGTCTCAAAAACACGATTGCAAAGGATGTGTACAATAGGCGAACCAGAAAAGCAAGGACAGGAAGTGTAGGAATAAATAATTCTTTAAAGCAAGAAAAAAGTTATCATGTACCATTATGCGGTTAATTATATTAACTCTTCTCATCAACTTTCATAGTTGGATTTGGAGAAACAACGTGTTTTAATGCTTAAAGAACCTTTTGTTTTGGCCTTTCTAACATTATTCCCAATAACGACCTTCCCAAAAATTACTGATACAAAATGATCAATGTATATAAGCTGTATGACTAAATAAATTTTCCTAACAAAACAGCATTGATACTTCCAGCAAAGAAAAATCTTCCGACAAATCAAAATTGCCTCAAACAATACCTTCAACAAAACAGTAAAGGAATTTCAATAAAGCAAAATCTGAGTTGTTTCTGAGTAAGGAAAAATCAATGATAACAAATTATCTGCATAATACAAGAAGTGTAACTAAAATCCCAATTTAGCACAGCAGCAACGAATCAATGTAATATGTTTCGTGTGCAATCAAAGCTAAGAGACCTAGGGCAAAATTATTTGTTTTATGATGATGAACATTAAGAAGAAATCCCAAAACATACGGATGAAAAACTATGGGGACTACGGAATCGAAACTTGCGTGCTTCCATGCTCAATATTTGAAATAGCAACCTCGCAGCAACACTTCTGCACCCTGCAGCAGCCCAATAGCCTGATAGCAGCAGCAGACACTGCATGAAAAAAACTGATGATGATGTGTCACTACGGACAGTGCATAGCGCCAATAACTGGCAACCATATTTTGATGTTATGCTCCCCTTGGTCAAGGTCAGTTCTTGTCGGTAATTATATTTCCATAATCCCAACGCTACTCAGCCACTCTGATCATAAGTACTTTTGTTTATACTCAGGTAACAATACTGCAGAATAAAGTTTGTGGGCTTGGCTTCGTCTGCTGGGGACTTGATTTGATGTTCGTTA